CTCTTTCCAGTTTGCCCACTTCTTGAAGTGTGATGCCCAGATTGGATGCAGTACTCCAGGTCAGGCCTCACCAGTGCTGAACAGAGTGGAAAAATTGCATCCTGAGGCTAGCTTGTAATATTCTTTTTAATACATCCCAATGTGTTTGTTTTCTTACAAGAGTATTACAGCGTTGTCTCATTCAACTTGCCATTCACCATAACCTCCCAGTGCTGCAGCTTATCCCATTTGGGATGTGTACATTTGATTGTTCTGTCCCTAGGATAGTTCTTTTCACATTTGTCCTTTTTTGAATCTCTTCCTTTTTATTTCAGACCATTGCCTAATTAATCCAGGTTATTTTGAAGCCTAATCTCATCCTCCAAGTTATCTGCCACCTCCTTGCGCAATTTCTTCTGCACATTTAATATATGTGCACTCAATTCCATCTACCAAATCGATAATGAAAATATTGAACTGCAATGGACCCAGTACAGCACTCTGGAGAACCCACTTCCTACCTTCTCCCAGCTTGACATTGAGCCATGGATGACTACTCTTGGAACAAGGTTTTCCAGCCAGTTGTGCACTCACCTTTTAACAGATTCACCTAGGCTATGTTTCTCTAGTTTATTTATGAGAATATCATGGAAAATTGTGTTACAACCCTGCTAAAGTCAAGAATATTACATCCACTTCTTTCGCCATGTCCACAAACCATTACCTTGTCACAGAAGGAGATCAGGTGGGTTAGGCAGAATCCATGTTGCCTGTTCCTTATCACCATGTCATCCTTGAGATGCTTAAAATTGTTTATATGGGCCAGTATCTTTCCAGGTATCAAAGTGAAGCTGTAATTCTGTGGGTCCTCCTTTCACCTAATCAGTGTCAACTGTTGGGATGTTGTACGGCTTATGAAAAAGTACAATTTTAATGAAAGGTCTCATGTATTTGATACAGCTATTTGCTAGCTGTAGCTGCACTCAAGGTAGAAGAATTATCAGCTCAAGATTATGAGGCTGGATCATCAGCTGGTGTAAATCAGGCCAGCTAATGTAGCTGTATTGGAGCTTCTCCAGTTCTGAATTTGTTTCAGGCTGTTCAAGTTTGCAGTCAGAAAACTACTGTCAGAAATATCACCGTGAAGCGCCACATTTATTTTCTCCTGATGACTTCTCACTTGAATTCTCTTACACATCTCCAGTTTAATATTAATTACTTTGTGCTGGTATTTTCTGTATTCCCTATGCCTCTCTGTGCATTCAGGTCCAAATTCCCTATGCCTCTCTTTGCCTTTTCACAGGTATTTAGGTGCCTGAAGAAGCTGTTTTTGAACATCCCACAAGCTGTCCCTCTGACTTGTTAGCTGCCTATAAAATCTGGCCTTAATCACTAAGTGTAACTGAGCAATACAGGAAAGACTACAGCAATATTGTTTGTTCATCACCATTAAATGACAGCTAATTTTTAAGTGTGTTTGTGAAAAGAGAAATGGGTGATGTATGCTAAAAATATTCATATGCTGCAGAAATCCATTGTTGTTATCTGTATCCGGGTGTGGAAAGGCATTCAAGGTTTTCATTACAATGCTCCTTAAACCATCAGATTATATAGATTTCTGAAGTATGTGTTTCTTCATTTCCTCTTAACTTGTTGTTTATGTTGTCAGGGCTTTCACTTAATGCCGTGTCCAAGTTCAGTTCTGAGAAATGTTTCTACTTAGAAATAACATTGGGCATGATGCTCATCTGAAATAAATTGGCTTTGCTCCATTTAAGGCAATGCAGCTGTGTCAATTCTATGCAAGCTGAAAATCTGGCTCCTTGTTCTCCAAAATCTTGAGAACACCTGTCATCTGTTAAAACTAACATTTAGCCTTAATGTGTAAAGATGCAGATAGCATTAAGCTTCTACTATTGGCTTTGCAGTAAAAACTTGGAAGATGGAAGACTCAATCCCAAGGCATAAAACACGCAAGGACAATTTTTATGAAAGACTGAAAATGACAGACATTGCCTTTCTTCCCTAGCGTTCTCAAATATTCCCTTAGTATCAGACCTCAAAGCATTTTAATCTATATTTTATTTAAAATGATGGGAAGAAACATACTGACAGAGCCAAAAATGTGGCTTATGGGTGTGTAAGACAGTGCTGCTTGCACACCAAAGCTTTCATAGCGTGTTGCAGTTGTGCAGAATACCAGACCCTCTTTCTCAATCCAAGCTGTGGGCAACAGTGAGGTTAAATATAACTGAACTGTTACTCCGTGATGGGAAATAAATCTTTAAGCAACCATCAGGTGAAGAAAAGTGTAACTTGCGTTCATTTTATCATTTTATCTAAGGCCCATTGTAACCATTTTTATCCATCTGAATATTGCTCAAGGCCACTTGTAAGAAAGCTTGTGCATTATCTGCCCATCCTTTTAAAAACGACTCCAAGATGTTTACTCTCACCCTGTATCAGGCAGTGAGGTGACTGTCACCTCTAGCATCTCAATTGGAGAGTGTAAAGAAACGTTTCCCATGTGGTGAAGAGTTATTGTTTAGCTTCATTCTTCATCTAGAATACAAAATATAATAACAACAGCATCCATGACAATAATAACCCTGCACAGTCTACAGAAGAACTACTATTGGGGGTAAGAAGAAGAGGGAAAAATGCCCTCTGTAAAAAAGCAGACATACACCTCCTAACTCAAATCCAGAGCGAAGGCTGTTGGTGTTAAGGTGCGTTAGGATGTGTATTATGCATCTGTGCCGTCTCAGTCATAGCTCAGGACCCCAAAATGCTAGCTTCAGTACAAATATACCACAAAATGATGGTACCCAAACCAACAGCTTACAATCTAACTAGAAGACAAGAGATAACAAGTGGGTACATGCAAGAGAAGAGGACAAGAAAATAATGAGACAGTATTGGCTTGTGTGATAGCTTCCTCAGTTCAACGGTAGCAAACGCTTCCTTACTGCCGCATACAGCTAATGATGTATTAGTAAGTGGTGCCAAGGCTCCATGTAATTTTTAGCAAAGTTTAGCGCTTGACAGTGACTTACAGAATTTTTTATTGGATCATATTCCCATTGAATTCATTGATCCCACAAAGTTGGCCTCGGTGGCATTACTGCTGTAACGTTTGCAGAATGTCCTTGGTTGCAGAGATGACTCAGCAAATAAGATGAACGAACACAAGACGAGGGGTGGAGTGAGGGCAAGTAAGTATTGTTTCCACCTTTTGAATTATTGAGGCACATTTCTCTTTAAAAAGTGAATACAGCTCTTTTGGCAAGTTTTGGGGCAGGTTTCTATAGCACATGGCACAATCTTGACTGGGGCATCTGTGCACTACAACAATACCGATAATATATAATAATTAAATCCCCAGAACTGTGGAACAATAGATAAAATAAAATTGCATTTGATATGGAATTATCATTTCTCTGAACTAAATTGCTTTCCAGTGTTTGGCTTGTCTTGTGCTGCTTATTTTTGAATAACAGCGTCCAGGAGTTATAAGCATTTTAAGTGGAATCCTGATCCCACGGAAGCGAACTTCAGTATTTTGTCCAAGGCCTTTATACAGTTTTTAAAGTACACTGTAGCTCTAAAGATTTTTTAATCTTGGAACTGCTTACATTGTCAACAAGGGCCAATAATAAGCAGTCTTTCCCTTTATTCTTCAAGGTTTTGCGCAATTCTGCCTTTATAACTTGGGCAAGACGGCTTCATCCAGTTTCTTTGGCAGATTATTTCATAGTCAGATGAAACTTTTTATGTAAAGGATTTTTAAAACAAAGCAACCCCCCCACCCAAGCCTAGGACTAAATTATCCTTCAGTTGCTTTTACCCCATTACTCCAAGTTATAAAGTCAGGCCCATCTTAAACAATTCCTTTACCTTTTTGTAATTTCCACCCCACCCCCACTTAATTACTATGCATCAGATCAAAGCTATTGCAGCTTTTTCGATTTATACCAGTTAAGTATCTGGCCCAATAAAAGGGTTTGAACTTGATATTGCTTAACACCAGTTAACACACATATATGCCATATCATCTGAGTAAGAGTACGTCTGATATATATTTAAGTAACTGAGAGGAGAGTCAGTCCCAACATGTGCATTGGTTGCAGGGACTATACAAGTACATGTGCATTAGGTCGACTCTCAGTTAATGCAAATCAGTGGAAGTCATTGGTTTCACTGGAGCTTTACTAATGAAAATGCATCCTGTCTTGGTTCTGGGCATCACCCTCTTGCCTTGAAATCTTCCTCCGTCTCAGAGCAGGCGCATCCCTGTAAAATCTCTGCAGCAAGTAGCCCACTGTCTGCAGTATTCCTATATTCCATTAAGGTGCATGTGCCTATACATTATTAATAGGTAGTGTCTGTGATTTCCCTTAGTTTCATTTAGCAATATTTATATGACTACTTAATGGTCAACAAATGCTATATTTGATGAGCTTTGGTTTTAAGAGGGTAAGATCTGTAAATTATTCTAATATGGCTACCTTGCTGCCAGACTTTTGGCAGGTTTGAAATAAACATGCCAGAAGTAATTTTGTTGACAGCTTTCCACACTGGAGTATTTCCAGCCTTCATTCATTACATAGCGGTGCAGTGAATCTTTTGTAGTCGGGAAAATATGCCATCATAGATCCATATTTTAGAGTCCTAAAATACTGTAGATGGCAGAGATTAATGACTCCAAACTGAGTTTTGGAGGTGGGTGACATTATTTTGGAATCATAAAGAGAGATGAAAATGATAACACTTATAGGTTTTTAATAGGGGGCACCAATTAGGCGTGCTTATTTTACATCCTATAGTAATGTCTGTTTTACTTTTCCAGGAACAATCCTAATCCAGGAACAATTAGGATTTCCAATAAGGTGAGGAAGGCTAGGAATGCACTGGAACTGGTTATATTTCTCTTCACAGAAGCATTATGACAAAGGTAGAGAAGAGGAAATATAGGAGCCCGTGCCCACTGCGCCATGGAGGCATGCCTCATTGAGGCACGAGGCATCTGATTATGCAGGCAGGATTAGAAATGCAGTGCAGGGCAGCACCAGTAAAATGAGATTGTGCAGAGCTGCCAGCAGGCCTCGTTCCCAGCAGGGGTAGTAGTAGAAGGCACAGTGTGGCTTCATTGCTATGAATGAAAGAGCTTTTCCATTTGCAGGCTCATGTTTAAGGCCCAGATTCAGTCCCCACTGAAATTCAGGTAGACTGAAGTCCATGTCACTTATGCAGCAAAATGGAATTTCAACTCCAGGAGGAGTGAAATCATGACCACATTAAAACTTTTTTGGAAATTTTTGCTGTTGACTTTAACTGAGCAAGGATTTTACCTAATCACTTTTCCTCAGTGAGGCTGGTCAAAAGTTCACTGAAGAATAAATAAAAATGTTTGCATTGCTTTCAGCAGGCTTTGGATAAGGTTTCATAGAATCATAGAAAATGAGGGTTGGAAGCCCTTGGAGGTCATCTAGTCCAACCCCCTGCTCAATGCAGGACCATCCCCAACTAGATCATCCCAGCCAAGGTTTTGTCTAGCCAGGTCTTGAAAACCTCCAAGAATGGAGACTCCACAACCTCAACAGGTTACTGGGTAACCTGTTCCAGTGCTTTACTGACCTCCTAGTGAGAACATTCTTCCTAATATCTAACCTAACTTCCCTTGCTGCAACTTGAGACTGTTGCTCCTTGTTCTGTCATCTGCCACCACTGAGAACAGTCCAGCTC